CTGGTATCTGTTATAACATGTCAAATAGATAATTTCCTTTGGTATAAAAAATATAAATATACAAATTCAAAGTAAACTAGTACTTATTTTCAGGGACAAATTACTATTTAGAGGAGTTTCCATTCATATGGTAAAGTAATTCTTACAAACATGAGCATAAAACAAAGTCTCGTGAGAAAAATTCATGTTTAATTTTCTTCAGTATCTCAAGTGTACTTTTGTAACCTGCCTATCCCTTTCATTTTACGACCTAATCTCACCTATTTCTGCCCATTTATTTAACAACTTACCATATTAAGATATTCGATAGGTGAGACTTGGATTTATGGCTTACCTATGCTGCTTTGTCTTTGCTCCAGACTTTTGATGAATGTGTAGCTGAGGGCGGCTCAGACTGTGCTCCAGAGAAGCTCTGGCTTCAAATCCCGTTCTTCTGTGGCCACAGCTCCGAATGCTGGTAGGGAGATAAAGTTGGCTTAAATTGATCATCTTCCTTAGTATTAGGTCATTAAATATGAAATGTCCGATTTCAAATCGAAAGTTTATTATATCTCAAACCAAAAGCAGTACAATTAATCAAAGTATGCGCCTAAGCTAGCGACACAGTTTTGCCATCGTAACAGTAGCTTGTTTATGCCAGCAGAAAAGAAGCCTGGAGGGCGAGTGGTGATGAAATCTCGAAAGGCATTTTCTATGGCTTGTTGAGAATTGAATATTTTTTCTTGCAAGAAGTGGTCCAAAGCCTGGAAGAAGTGGTAGTCAGTTGGTACAAGGTCTGGTGAATACAGCGGATAAGAGAGTTTCCAAGTCCAGCTTCTGTAGTTTGAGCAACGTTGTTTTTGCAACAAGTGGTCGAGCGTTGTTGGCCAGCAAGAGGTTTGGTTTGTTTCTATTGTCCAGTCTCAGCTGCTTAATTGCAAGCATCCTCATCATTTTGTCTAATTGGTTGCAGTAGACATTGCTGTAATCGATTGACCAGGTTTCATGAAGCTGTAGTGGATATAATGCCAGCGCTAGACTACCAAACAGACACCATTAGCTTTTTTTGATGAATATTTGGTTTTGGACGGTGTTTTGGCACTTCATCTTTATCCAGCCGTTGTGCTGAATGCTTGTGATTTTCAAAAAGAATCCATTTTTCATCACACCTAACAATAAGTACTTGTTTAATTCATGCGGAATACACCTATCCAGCTTTCTTACCTAACCAAGTTGTTTCAAATGGCCCAATATTGTTGGAATAGTAACATCCATCTTGCTGCTCATTTACTTGTAGGTTGAGATGGATTCACTTCCACTATAGCTTTCAGCTCATTATCCACCTTGGTCTCAGGTCACACACCAGGCTTATTTTCAGGATTAAAGTCACCAGAAAGGAATTTCTCAAATCATTGATGGATGTACTATGCATTCATTAGCCACATCCTTCTCAAACACTTCATTGATATTCCATTACAGAACTCACAGTCGAAAATAACACAAATTTTTGACTTATCCATGGTTTCACAAAAATTGGCTCTAAAAAAATTTGAAAGATAATCACAAGCCAAACCAAGTGTTTCCAAGACTGAGGAGGTACCTTCACAATAAAAATAAAACAAAAATTATCAAAGTGAAATGTCAGATTTCAACTATCAAACTTAATACTTAAGGAAATCGAACACTTCATACTTAAAAACCTAATATTTCCATAATCTGTATTTCACAAAGGGTAGGTTTAGTGAAATCAGTGAAAGACCAGACTAAAAATAACATGTAATTAATATCTAGTTTTGTGGTTACCTTTAAATGTATTTAAAAAATTCCTCATATATAATATACTTGCATTATTTCCTCAGATGCTGAGTTTTAAATTTTTTTGTTTGTTTTTGGTCTTATGTTTTGGTGTGTTTCAGTAGATCTCTTAATTAGAGACCAGTGGTCATAAACCTTACTTTGTCCTAAGCTTACTTTCTTAGCCATTCATGTTAAATCAAGAAAAAACTTAGTGGGTAAATTATTCACCTGGTTTTACTATTAAACTGATTTTAACTTTAAGAGATGCCAAGGTTATGGTTGTGGTTAGTTTGCTAATAAACATGAGGTGGAAAATAAAGATATTTTATCTTTAATAAATAATTTATTTCCTCAGAATGTGCCAAGCTTTCAGTTTTCAAAAGTAATTGCATTTTTAAAAGCTAAAACTTGGCATATTCTGGGAAAATAACATATTTCCTTAGTACATATTTCTTTGTTCTATTCAATCATTTTAATAGGAAAAGAAGGAGGGGGAAGGAACACATTCAAAGTTAGTTTTTTTCCTTAAACCAAAATGAGAAATACAAGGAATTTCTTCATTATTTGAGATATATTATTAGATTACTGTAAAGCTTAAGGTCTTACTCAATAGATAGTATCAAAGCCTTATAATAGTTCAAGAAGAATTGAAAGTCTAGGAAAAATGTCTTCTCAATTTTTAGCCATTTCCTTAGAACAGGGATTGGCGTACTACAAACTGCAGCAAATTTTGCTCATCGCCTGTTTTTATAAATAAAGTTTTATTGAAACACATCCACATACCCTTTTTACTTATTGCCTATAGCTGTTTTTGTGCAATAGCAGAGTTGAATAATTGGGACCTAAACCATATAGTCTGCAAAGTCTGACATATTTACTTTCTGGCCCTTTATAGAAAAAGTTTGCTAATCCCTGCCTTAGAATAATAAAGAATATTGCATCATTGGGCATTTTTGAGAATATTTTAATTGAACTTCTTTAGTTTGTTTCATAGATTCACAGAAATGAGAGGGACCTTGGAAATCAACTAATCATTGGCCCCCTTCCTTTTTAATAGCTGAGAAAACAAAATCTAGAAAGCTGAAGCCACCAGCTCACGATCACACTGCTACTTAAAGGCAGAGTTGGAATTAGGATCAAGGAATGTTGGTGCTAAAATCTCTATTAGCAGCATCATTTGGCAATGTGAATAAAAATAAAAGATGCTTAGCAGAACTATTTTTTATCTATTTTCTGTGCCTCAGAAAATGCTAAGCTCCTAAAAAAAAAATACCCCTGAATTCACAAATTAAGATAAGCACTAGACACAAATTATTTATACCTTGCTAGAGAGCTCTTAAAATGAACAAAGTTTAGTTTAGAGTAGTTTAAAAAAATTAAACACACTCACACTAAATCATATGGGAGGAATATATCAGCTGTATATCTGGATGTGTGTATATATATTTTTAAGTGCCCTCAAACTAAACTTTGTTCATATTAAGATTCCTCTAGTAAGCTCTGAATTAGCACTGCATAGTTGAGCAGAAACTGGAGATGGGAGCAAAGGAAATTAAAAACAGGTGTGCTTCCCAGAGGACGTTAATAAAAGGGCATTAAGCCTTTGGATATACATGTGTTTATCTATTTTCTCCATAATATACAATGTCAAAGGCATCAGAAATACTTAGAAGATTTCACACTAGGTTTTTAATTCCTTTTCTTTGGTTTCAGGAATGTGGGAAGCAGGTGGGCTATGGATCAAGCCAAGTATAACCTAATTAATGAATATTTTCTGGTGGGAGTCACTGAAGAGCTTGAAGATTTTATCATGTTGTTGGAGGCAGCTTTGCCCCGGTTTTTCAGGGGTGCTACAGAACTCTATCGTACAGGTATATAAATGAAAGGTTTCTTTCTAAAGCTGTCTTTAACTTTTTTGGTTTGTTTGCAACTTGTGAAATGTATGTGATTTGAAGTTCTTCAGTAAAACAGAACAAGTAGCTCCAGAAAGGCAGGTATATTGTCTATTTCTGCTCATCATTTTCAGTAAAAAACAGTGCCCGGCACACAGATAGTGTTCATTAAATATTTTTTGAGTGAATATTTGTGTATTAGGTGAAAATTAGAAGGCATTATAGGAATAGTGGAATGATACAAACTACAGAACAAGCTTTAGAAATATGTAATATTTGATAGTGACAGATATCAAACATTAGGCCTAAGTAATACTCCTGCCTACTGCCATTTTAAAGAAGAGGTGAATCACACTAATACAATCGTCATGTGTCATGTCTGTTAATAGTGTGCTTAAAAGGGTGCTTTAGCAACCTTAGCAGTATCACGTTTCTAAAAGTGACCATGCGAGTAGATGTGTAGCCCATTTTCCAGGTCTACTTGCATGGTCACTTTTAGAAACATGAGCATTGTAGGGGGGAAAGGATTACCTCTATCCCTTTTTAGGGAGAGGCAAAGAAACACACTGTAACCAAAATGTCTAAAAACAAAAATTTTTGTTAATGGGAGGTGAACAGGTGGAAGGGGGGAGAAGGGGAAGGGTACGCACTTTCATGGTGGGTGCAGGGCGCACCACTTGAAGACTGGACATGCTTGAAGTTCTGGCAGAGCGGGGTGGGGAAGGGGGCAGGGGCAAGATATGTAACCCTAACAATATTTGTACCCACAGAATTTGGGAAAAAATAAATGAATAAATTTAAAAATATATATAAAATTTTAAAAAAAATAAAAGTGACCATGCAAATCTAATTATGATTTTTTTCCTGTTTGATAAAATGTAATCATTCTAGAGTATGTATGCATATGCCATAGCTTCTAACACGTAATTTTAGAGAATATAGGTTATGAGAAAGTAGAATTGTTTGATAATATTTATTTTATCAATTTTAAAAAAATAAACTAGTCTTAGAGGACTTGAGAATATAGTATGAGGTGACAGCCTACACTGTACTGTGTGGTAATCCTTGGATTTACTATTTAATATTTGACATTTTGTTAAGTTTTAAGGATTTACATTTTACAGGAATAAATCACAGTTCAAGTATTATTAGGGCTCCATTTTTGCCCAAATTATATTAATACAAGACAATTACGTTACTTGCTCTTCAATGTGTCATATTAAGCCATCTCTTAATATGTGTCTCTTAAGCCATCTCTTCAAATAAAGAGGAATTGATCTTTTGTGTGTTCTCCAAGAATTATTTACCTTTCCTTTTTTCCTTTGTAAGTAGGAAAGAAATCGCATCTTAGGAAAACCACAGAGAAGAAACTCCCCACTAAACAAACTATTGCAAAACTACAGCAGTCTGACATTTGGAAAATGGAGAATGAGTTCTATGAATTTGCACTAGAGCAGTTCCAATTCATCAGAGCCCATGCTGTTCGAGAAAAAGATGGAGACCTCTACATCCTTGCACAAAACTTTTTCTATGAAAAGATTTACCCTAAATCAAACTGAGTATAAGATGTGATTATTAGATTCTTCAACTAAAACTTCGACCCTGTCTTCACACTTGTTCTCAGCTCCACAACCTGGATTGCTGATAGGTATATATGACAATTTGTATTGAGTTGAATTAGGAAACGGTAATGTCAAGGAAGTAGATACTGACTAATGTGTCAGTGTTCTAAGAAGTATAAATTTCACACATTTTTCTTTTTTCTGGTTAAATTTTGGTGAGAATTATAAACTCCTGCCTGGAAAAACCTGTATATCACCTGAGATAAACAAATGGCAGGTCTAATCAAAAGGCTAAATACAGTTTCAGAGAAGTTTCTGATACTCTTGTTTTTGATAAAGCTTTTTTTTAACTAACCATGAATGAAGAATCCGTTTGCCACCGCCTTCACCGAAGGTTTGGATTAATACACCTCTACTGAATAGTGTTGATAACTGTTTGGCAGTGTGTGCTTTGTTTTGTGAATCATGTCTCATGAAATTTATTGGAATGTTTGATCATGTTTGCTAGAAATGTTTCTGCTGTAGTTGGATTTGCCCATATTTATGTAGGTGATTTTAATTTTTTAAAATAATCATTAGTGGTAAAAACCAGTTTAAACCATGACTAATACTGTAAAAAGATAAAGAGTCAAAGCAGTATTTCTCATTCCTTTCTTCCCAATATCTAATATTGGGAAAAATACTTCAAAGAATGTTGAGATTGTCTGAAGTTTTAGTTAAGACTTCCACACATTAATATCAAAAAAGTAAGTTTACTATTTGTTTTTTCCATGTGTTATTTGTAAAGCTGTAAACTGAGATATTGGTGACTCCATATTATGCCTCCATTAGTGAGCTGTGGTATGGGTAGGATTTTCCTACTTCTTCTGTACTTTTACCTGTAGACTATTTTTACTAAGGTGCTTTATAATGTGTTTTAAAGCATTGCATTTACAAAAAAAGGAAAATGCTGTAAATATTGCATATTTTATGTATTTGGACCAAAAGGTTACAAGTAATTAGACAAAAGTGGTTTTGCACCAATTTTATTATGTCAAGTAAAACCATCAGACCTACTGTTCTTGTATTTCTCATTTAATTTTACTGTTAAGACGTCACTGAACTGAACTTCAATAAGCTTTCGATTTTGATACACAGTTCATTGTTCATAAATGGAGGCAGTAGTTGTAGTGGAAAGAGTACTGGGAAGGGAGTCAAAAAATTTGATTTTAGGTCCTACCTAGCTCTGCCACTTACCAGCTGTGTGATCTTGGGCAAGTCACTTAACCTCTCTCTGCCTCAATTTCCTCATCTTGAAGTGAGGATAATAATACCTGCTGTACCTACCTCACAGGGCTGTTGTGAGGATTAAATGAGATGGTATGTGAAAGCACTTTGAAAATTGTAAAGCGCTATATAAATGTAAGGTATTATTATAGAAACATCTTTAACATATAGTTTCATATCATTCATTTTTTTAAACAAAGGGAAAAGTCCACTTGTAAGCTGGTTGAAAAAGTTAATCTTGATATAAATTTGTGTTTGATAAATATCTTCTCAGTGTTTTATCTTCCATCTTTCAACAGCTATTGAAATGTGAAACACCTGTGAACTCTTAAAGATTCACGAGCAGCTGATTGAGTTATAGAGGTTCCCTTTTGGAAATAGACTTTGTTAGCTGACTAGAGTCAGGGAAGCTTTACCCTAAAAATTTGAAAGACTTTTTTGTTTTTACTTTACATTGCTTTTCAGAAATGGTCGCTATTTTATACCTGTCATTTTAAGGTATGTTTCACAGAGTTTAATTTCCCTGTGCATTCTTTACCTTCTTCCCCTTCTTAGAGTTACAGATATAAAGAATTTTAGAAATATTTTCTAAAAGGATAATCTTTAATATTTTTAGTGTAAGTAAATATTTCTGAACAAGGCTTTTTCAAACTGTAAGCATTTTAGGCAGATTACCTTAAAGGTTATTAATTGTGTGGGAAGGGAGGAGGGAACACTACTTATCGGAAAACATTTATAAACAAACTAAAGAAAAACTGAAGGAGTGACAAAATCATTTTAGCGCCCTTTCCCTTCAATAATATAAAAGTATTAAGAGAACATAGCCAGACATAATTTTCTGATTCGATTTTTCCTTTCCTTTTTTAAAAATTAACTTTTATGGGTATTTCCTGAAAATATATACAAATTATTTTCTTGCCCAAAAGTAAAGCACCACTTTAAAGTGGGGTTTGACATTTACCTACTAATGAACAAACCGCAGGATACAGGTTATTCTTGGAGTACATGTTAAAATCTTCTTGAGGTACATTAACACTTTTAGGTAACCAGAACTTCATTTAGTGCACTAGATCAGGGGGTCAGTAAACTTTCTGTAAAGGGCCAGAGAGTAAATATTTTAGGCTTTGCAGGCCATAAAGTTTCTGTCACAACTACTCAACTCTGCCATTGTAACAAAAGCAGCTATAGACAATATGTAAACAAGTGAGCATAGTTATGTTCCAGTAAAACTTCATTTACAAAAACAGATGGCATGTGAGATGTGAACCATGGGCTACTAAGCCTTGCACTAGGTAAATCATTATTTGTGGGGAAATCATTTTTGTATCTGTACTCTAGTATCCCAAAAGAGTTTATAAATTTCTAAAATTTCCTAACTTATATCCAAAGAATTGCTTTCTGTTTCATGCAGGCTCTCTCATAGATTTATAAACTTTTATGATTTATATTGCTTCCAGGTGGGCATGTTTTCTTTCCCAGTATAACAGTTCAGAATAGGGGCATTGATTTTATCTTTTAGGGTGGGTTAAGAGTATCTTTTCTGGAGATTGAGAAAGAGGCATATTTAATCCCATCTAGTCCAGTACAATCCTAGGAGTCTGAGTCCTAATAATACTCAACTTTAACATCAATTCAATAAATAGAACCACAATAATGTATTTTTTTAAAGTAGCAAATGTTTTTTTTTTCTTTTCCAGCCTTTGTGCTTTTTCAGTATTTTGACCATAATGAGATAATTTTTTTATAATACAAAAGTAAATTAACCACTTTGAATTTTGAAGATAATGTTATGGGTGTATGTGTGTGTGTGTGTGTATATATATGTGCGTGCACACACACTCGCGCATATATACCTATGTTTATTTCCTAAAAGAGGAAAATGTTTTGTTCAACTTGTATTAACTCCTGTTTTCTATTTGCTGTGAAATGGCAACTGTTGATAAATTATTGTGATTGTTTTAAAATGTAATGAGAGGATATATTTTGATTTTACCCAGCTTTGATCTGTAAAATATCATTTAAATATATCTGATAGCAACACTTAAAATATTGCATGGGGATTATTACTTTTCTATCATCCATATACATTTGTGCAATTTTGAATATATTGGGTGCTCCTGAATTCCTGACGATTGAATTTAAACTACTGAAAATCAGAGAACTTACACTTAACTGAGTTTAAAATTTTTAATTTTATTTTCTACTCTTAAAATGCAATTAATGCCTATAATTTGAAATCTACTGTTTCTTTTTCTCAATATATGTTCTACTGGAAATCCCTAAAATTATTGGTGCCATCAGTGATTTACGAACAGTATTTTGATATTGCAGATGATTTGCTCATTGTATTTGCACAGTTAGAAAGAAAATGGTTTGTAGACAATGATGCTCTTTTTCAATAAAATGAAATAACTCTAAAAAAACACTAGAGAATTTAACTAAAGGCTGGTTCCCAAATGCATAGCTGGCATTTTCTGTTATATTCAAATTCTACATAGAGAACATCTGTGTAAATCCATCTAGCTGGATTTCCCATTGGTCATTCTCAAACACACCTATGGTCCTAGAATCCTTTATTATGAGAAGCACCCAGTACTGTAACCTTTTATGAAGTTTGCCTTTCAGAGGCCCAGGTGCTTCTGCTTTGTGATTTGAAAGTTTACCTCTTCATAAATTAGTGCTGTTTACTTTGAAGGGAAGTGGGCCAGTTGCTGTTAAGTTTTTGCATCCATTGACCCTATGCAAAGTTGCTGTATGTTGCCAACTAAACTGCTCTTTAGGCACCCTTCTGAAGGGAAAAGCAACCCTGTTTCAAATCTGCTGCCAATTCAGCTTCTCTGGAGTGGAGTTTACTTTCTGATTTCATGGAGCAGGAATTTCAGAGATTGAAATGAATGATCTTTTAGTCAGATTTATCCTATAATTTTATGCAGCTCTATGGCCTTCGCAGTACTGTTTATAAAGTGGACCCTGATGGTGATGAACTCTTTAAAACACATTACTGGTAAGCCGATGATGAGACACACTGACACAAGACAGACTGTTGTCTGTCTTGATTTTTTAGACAGCTTTTGTAGCTTTCTACGGAGAATCAGGTATGTGAGCATCTGTGGAACAGTATTGAATGTAATTCTGAGAAACATGGATTGTGTATTTTGACTTTTATTTTATAAATACACAGCTAAACAGTGCCTTTTTTCCCCCTCACAATCCTGTTGGAAGATGCTCACTACTTTCTATGTGTCTCTCTTCTCTTTCCCAGCCCTTCCTCTGCCCCATTCAGTTGATTCATTTATGCAATACTGTTTCCAACTTGAAACCATTTTGTCACATCTGTTGGAGAGATAATCACTCCTTTTCCTTAACTTCTGCCAGCTTTCTGTTGTTGAAGTGTTTCAGTTGACTACCTGATGCAAAAGCTATAAAATAAACATTCAGTGGGAAGGGGAAAAATGGTTTGGTGTCCTGTTTTAATATTTTCTTCTGTAGCCTTAATGCTGATGGACATTTCCCAAGCTGATTCAGTGTTCGACATCATCAACTTAACTCTCAGATATTGTTGCCATCTGAAAGGCATGCATCATCATTGGTTAGTAATGATTTTATGACTTATTTGTGACAATATTTTACCCAGGTTGACATGCTTCTCTGTTGCTTTTGTTTTGTACTTCACTGTTGGTATTGAAATTTCAGATAGAAAATTTCCAAGGTATATTTAAGATACATACTCAAAAGAAAAATAGAGAAAGGGCTATTAGAATAAAAAGGAAATTCGAAAGAAAATTAATCTGATTAACATTTATTGCACAGTTTGGACATATCCATAATGTTTCATTGAGAAAACACATTTCTAATGATTGTTTTTCACTCCTAAAGGTGAAAAATCTCAATTACACAGATTTCCCATTCCCAGTCACTGGCTCACTGTTTTGAGCAATGCTTGATTAATTCTATTTATGTTATATGATATAGGGTTGAATAAAATACCAGTTCAACGATGATTTTTCTTAACAGAATTTGGTTTATACCCACAGGTGCAGAGCATAGAGCATGGATTTGAGAGTCAAATGGACCTACATTTAACAGTGTGATTTTAGTAAATGGAGATAACAGGATTATTGTAAAGTCGGACATGATAGATGCAAAGTACTAGGGTACACTAATAAATTATAGCTTTTATTTGCTATGTTGGAATATTGTTAGGAAGTAGACCTACCCTTCTCATCCTGTGGAATACTAGTCACTTAATAAAAGATATTTTTATAAATATGTTTGAATGCCACTGAATACTTTTTATTGATAAGAACCTATTGTCATGATGCCTCCTCACTATGTACCTATAGCATAGATATTCCTGGTCCTGATTCCTGCTGTTATTTTCATGTACAAATCATACATGAGAAAATAGAGAACATGCTGACTGTTCTAAAGGAGACAGGACTTGCTTATTCCAGAAGTGACTGAGTCCATATTTTGTTATATTTGAACAGTAAGGACTGTCCAGTGGTACATGAATAAAAATCAAGATACCAGGAGTAAAATGATTAGTAGTCATTCAATGGAAAGGAAACTATCCATAGTCTGTAAGAAAAGAAGACACTTTTGCCGTAGAGTAATAAATTAGTTGATTATGTTAGAATTCCAGATTTTTAAGATATCTGAAAAAATAAACTTATGCAGTGATTTTTACCTAAACCTGCATATTTTCATGGTACTCTTATGATCATCAGCTATTTTCTAAAACAGGACTTGAAGTTCCTGAGTTTTTAGGTAACAAGTGCAAAAATGCAAATCCCAAATCACTGTCCATCTGTTTTCTTTCTCTGAAGGAATCGCCCACCTCTTACTTTATCTTCATTATAGTGTTTTACCTTTGTTACCACAGAGCACAGGTGTGGCAACTTGCAACAAAACAAAAAATAACAAACAGCATCAATAACAAAACTGACTTCAAAATGTAAGTTTACCCCCTTTCTACTTAAGGAATAACCAGTTGAGTAAATAATGAAAGATTGTTCAAAGTCACTCTTCTCTTTGTGGTTTGCTATGTTTCTCCTAGTAGCATGGGACTAAACAGATCAAGATTTAAGATATTTCAAAGGCCTGTTTAGCCTATAATGGACTTCTAGATAATATAGATAACACTTTAAGCCTGTGAAGGGAAACAATGGGAAAAGTGTAAAAGAGTTTTGTTTTGTTTTGCTTTTCACTTACTCTATATGAAAGAATAAAGTCCCTTAAGTATATTATTTTTGGTTTGGAAACAATGGGGATTCATGAAAAGATATGATGATTTTGAGTTGAATAAAATACCAGTTCACCGATGATTTTCTTAACAGAATTTGGTTTGTACTCACAGGGGCAAAACAGACAACTGAGAGTTGTCTAGTTGTTGTTATTTTCCTCCCACCTTTTGGCCCTGTGTTTATTCAAAACCAATGACCAATGTAGTTAGATCACCATACCCTTTTTTGAAAAACTTTTGATAACCTTGTGTTTCACCTTGAAAACTGAGATCTCAGGTTTAATTTGATCTCTCATATTCCCATAACATTCTGTACTGCTTTTCTTTCCCTATACCCCTTCACCATATGCATATTGTTTCTGGATATTCTCTTAGCTAGGCAACTGAAATTCACTTTTGAAAGGTACGATTAGAAGGTGTAGAGAGATCTATAATTGGCCATGAAAGAGGCTGTTTTATAGGATAGTTAGAACATGAGCTCTGGAGTGCCACCACTTACCATCTTGAGCAAATTAACTCCCCTAAGTCTGAGTTTCTTTAAATCTGTAAAATAGGAATAACAATAATATCAGCAGTTAATTTGAGAAGTAAGTGAGGTGTAGTAAATGCTAATGTTATCTTCTATGATAAATATGAAAGAAAGAGTGAGGAATCATCTATTTGGACAAAGTATGTTGAAGTGTATATCCACTCAATCATTCATTAACATGGACCAGGCATTAGGAATAAAAAAGGTTAACAAAAGAGGTATGGCCTCTCTTTGTTGGGAAGAAATGGGTAAAGAGGAAACACAAAGCATTGTGATAGACTATCTCCTTTTTTTTATGCTAAGAATTCATAAAAACCCCTGGACATTTTAATTTAATGCATTTCATTTCTTAGTTTTAACCTGGAAATAGTGTAAGCATCAACCTATCCAGATGATCAAGTTCTAAACATCCAGTACCCATTTGCTCTAAAATGTAAACCTCCACATTCATCTATATGATAGGCTTAATTTCATAATGAATTTGTTCTCTCACTTCTCTAGACACCTAATTGGGTTCATATATTAAAATGATAAAATTTTACCATGATAGGTATTGTTGACATTCAGATGCAGTTTTTAATTCTATTTAAATTCCAAAGTCTTCTAAACAAGAAATACAAATAAAGCAATATACATACTCCCAGTCTTAGAAATGGGTTGTGTTCTCAGAATTCATTATAAACAGGTTCTTTGGAATCCATGTAGAACCAATATTATACCTATGGGCCCTGCCCACAAAAGTCTCCTTAAATATTCATGGCTTTATCTCTTTACTAAGAGCAGAGGAACCTAAGAGCTGTGTCCTTCCTGGGGCTTGTTGTGTTTTTCTGCCATTTTCCCAAAGGAGATTTTGATTTTTGAGAGTCTTGAATCCCAAGCTAAGTAGTTTGGATTTTTCCATGGTGGGTGATGGAGTTTGTAAGCCGAGAGAGGATGAAGTGGTCATATTTGAGTTTTTGAACAATAACAGCAACAGTGTGAAGAATGGGTCAGCTGTCAGGCTGAAAGCTGGGAACACAAAATCTTTCTCTGAAAGAGGTGAGTGCAGTTGTCAAGAGAAGTGATAAGGTTGGGGAGAAGCAGATGGATCTCAGTGCCAGAAACTCCAACATTTGGAGACAGTAAATGAGGAGTGAAGGCAATAAATTAGGTTTGTAATACACTACATCTGTACACATATCAGCATCCTTTGCCCCAATTATGCAATAATGGTTACTTTCTAAATCAAAGTTTATAAAACAGACTAGTGTTTGCCAAAGAATCTAGTATCACAAAGACAGATTTCAGTCTCCCTATTAAATGTTTGATTTCCTCGACTCTTTTGCCCATCCAGATTTTGTGACCTGGGTTAACATTTAGTAAAGAACTACCCCCCCCACACACACACACACACACTCTTCCCACCCCAAGAAACTTTTCTACTGCCCTGTGGTTTGATGAGGAAGGCTTCTAGTGAAACACGCTGACCAACTTCGGCTTCTCTAAGCTGAAGCTTAAAAATGAAAGTCATGCCTGGAAATGTTTCACATCATTAGCACTCCGAGCATCTACAGGGAAATGGAAAAAACATCATGGGATCAATTTTCATTTTAGGGTTTCAGTCACAGGTTTGGGCAACTAGAGCGTTCAGCCTATCATATCAGCGATGCTGGCAAACGAAGAGGATAGGCTGTAAATGCAGTAACTGACCCCTGTCCTGTTTTGTTGCTAAATATGCCCCTCCACCCACAAAACAGGCAACCTGATAACAAGTATTTGAACGATAAGAATGTAAAATTTCCCTAAGCCCCAGAGCCAAGAGTGATTATCCTGGGATTTTAGAATCACAGTTCTTTCTCTTTCTCCCTCTACCTCCCTCTTTCTTCTTTTTTTCTTTTCAATTTAAATCACTCAATCTCTTCATAGAAACTTGACATCAAAGAAACTGTCAGTTACTAACTCCTAATTTGTGATTTTTTAAAAAGAGTGTGCCTTCTCAAAGTATCAAATTAAAGCTTTAACCTGCATCTCATTAAGTGTTAAAATCTGGCAAAGAGTAAACCTACAGTCCCCAAGTGATCTGGCTTCTGAACTTTGGTTTGCTTTCACAAATGTGAATCAGTTTGAGCTTAAATCTGAGTATTTCATGTAGCATCCCTAGAGATTTATTTAAAGTGCTTGTGGCAATAACATTTAATTTGTAGCCGTTTTATTGATTTTAGGTGCCCCCTTGGTAACACAGCCAGGTTTTGGGCCCATAAAAAACTGTTCGATGTTTTTAAGCATCTCTCAAAACTGACAAGCTGAAATATACCTTTTCTGGGTAACTGAGCTCCCCAGTAATTCCATTTGATATGGGCAGAGCCTTTCTGAAAATGGCTGCCTGGAAATAAGTGACATTTTATTCAACCAAGAGTTACCAGAGTGGTTTCCTCCTCTCCCCCTTTAAAAGTAATTTAAAATTCTCCAGAGGATTAGTAAGTAGGTCTCTTGGCATAGCATGGTTATCTGATCAGACTGTCACACCCATAAACAGTGAAAATGCACGATGTTGATTCATTCATGTCTGTTTTTAAAGGAGGCTGTGGACTTTAAACTCCCTTTTCTCTCTGACATGCTTGCTGTTTCTCTGTCTGTGTTTTCATGCGGGGGCTCTTTGAAAAACACCTCAGGCGAGAACAGTTTTTAAGAAGTAGGCCA